CCCCAAAACCCCAAAACCCCAAAACCCCAAAACCCCACTATATAAAATTCTATTGAAAATTACATTTATTTCTCAGATAAATGTAAGATCTTGCTTCCAGCAAAAGCGTTTCGCTGGTTATTGAAAATCTTAGTCAACTGGTTCAGCCTGATTCTGGTCTTTTTCGACACTTTTGATTTCGCTATGGGAAAAGTCAGGTCACAAAACTTTCCTTTCGAAATTGGATCGATACATTTTGATATTTAGTAATAAAGTAATCAAAATTTATATTTCAAGAACATTTGTAACAGCATTTAAGATCGATTAAGGAAAATAAGTAGTTTTGCAAAGCTTTTTGACCTTGAGATAGAGTAATCCTTTGGAGATATGCACACACAACTTACCTCTGATTATACTGAGGATGGGCTTTGTAGGGACCTTTCGGCTTATAGAAACAGAGAGGGGATTTCTGTAAGTTGGAATATTCTCTAAATATATCAATCATCGTAGAAATTACCTTTCGCACTAGGGTTTGAATCAGGTCTTGGAACCAAGCAGTCAATGTACCCTTTACTCTCTTCATAATCGCCAGGGTTGTGCATTAAGTTCCTAGAGTAATCATTTTGAAACTCTTACATTACTCTTTTGGTCTTGAGATTACTCAGACTTCCTGTCTGAGCAGGTAAATCTTGAGAGGTTTTGTTCTTCATCATTTTCAACATTGACTTTCCCGGGAAGATATTGTTACCAAGTTTACTCAAGTTTGCCTAGAATTAACTAGAAACCTACGATCCGCCTCTCTTCAACTGAATTTCTTGGAATTCTCAGCCTGATATTATTTTATATAAGCATTAATCTGATTTTTCAGTTTGTTTCTAATATGAGAAGATTTATTTCGCAAAAGTAGAGTTTCTCTTTGAGTCCTCCTCAAGCGAAGTTGAGTCAAAAGGTAAAACTACCTTCGCCTCTGCATTCCTGATCTGGGATAGAGATTCTACAAATAAATAACCACGGTACTTCAGTTCTTATTGGTATTTCTGAAGGTAGAAGTGTTGGATTTATATCTTCCTCTGACAGTTGCTATGATTTTGCTTAGAAGCTTACCTAAAAGCTTGCTGTTTTTAAATCTTTTTATGCCAAAAGCCTTAAAGTAGTTCTATAATTTATCAGTCAAGCGAATCATGAGACAGTACCTTTTTGGTCAGCAGATCTTCGTGAGAACTTTTCAAACCATAATCTAAAGGTTGTCATAAGAATTTACTTGATTCTCATGGGTCTTCTATTCTAACAATATTTCCACTATTTCTAAAGCTATGATGCACTCTATTAGTGTTATTAGAGTATTTAGACTGCATTTTAAGCTTCTTTTTAGGAAAAGTCGGAGATGGGAATTTAGTCACAGCTGGACTCCCTCTGCTAGTGCCATTACAAGTCCCTATTTCATTTAATCTACTCCTTTCTTGGGTAAATTCCCCAAGAACTTTAGTAGTCTCATTTTCTTGTTCAAATCTAAGGTCTTTTAAGGAATAAGATTTAAAGCCTTTAGCCCAATCTTCCATTTTTAAATTTTAATTCAACTTTTGATTCAGAGTTAGGGGTTTTGGGGTTTTGGGGTTTTGGGGTTTTGGGG